GGTAAATGCATATGCCCCGGTGATACAGACCACCACACCTTGGTCAGGTTACTGAATCGACCTCGAAGTCGTCCGTGCTTGCTCCTTCTGACACCTTCTATGAAGAGGCCAATCGCATAAGCGATCGTTGGCGCGTCGTCGAGAAGCTGCCTATCTGGTGTTACGACCATTATGGATGCCTTGTTCCCTGTCCACCAGAACATAGGACCAGGTGACTTCGTAGAAGTCCGCACTATGCCGATTATGAGCGCCTGGCCACGAATCAGTCATTACTTTGAGATTGAAACCAAAGATAAACTGCATACATTGAAGAACTCCAGTGAGCATACTCCTACTACAGGTAGCATACAGCTGTAAAATTACATAGAAAAACGTTGTACTCTTTTGTTTTTGTCGCAAGGTCATCAGCCGGCGCCCTCGCCGGCGCCACTCGCGTACTGTGAGAAGGTTTGGAATCCCTAATTACTGCCATTACTATACTAAGTACTTAATTTTTGATCTGACATACAGTACCTGAGTTGTGCCGCCTTCCCTCACTCTATATCCTTCGTCATATGCATGCAAGTCATAAGGAAATTACCCGTGCTCAGACGCCTCTCCCTAGGCAGGGCATTATCTCGCCTTCAGCCGGCTTCTACGTCTTCACATGCACCCGAACAACCTGCCAAAGCGAGCTGGGAAGCTAGTGAAGAGCCTCTAGATGAGTATGACCCTACTGTCAACGGATACTACTCGGTGGCGATTGGCGATGTTCTCGGTTCTCGGTACACTATCGTCCGCAAGCTTGGTTGGGGTATATACTCCACTGTGTGGCTTGTCCGCCGGACAAGGTTAGTCGTCTTCTTGATCATTGACCGCGTTCTCGCTGACGTCGTAACCCGCCTATTCAGTCCCGGACCTGGGCCTTTCTCGGCCCTCAAGCTATTGTCAGGCACGTATATTCCCCCCTCATATCCCATAATCCTGACCACTGGCTTCGCAGCGGTCGCCACAAATGCCCAGCAACACCTAAAGGAGCTACAATTCCTCGAGAAGATACGCCAACAATCGCCACATCACCCCGGTCATGCACACGTCATCCAACTTCAGGACTACTTCTACGAAGAGGATTCTCACGGACGCCACCTCTGTTTCGTAATGGAACCGCTGCTTGAAGATTTGCACTCATTCGCAAACCATTGGCGCTATCGGCGTCTGCCCATACCTCTCGTGAGACTCCTTGCTCGCCAGGTAGTCCTTGGGTTGCAATTTCTCCACGAAGAATGTAACATTGTGCACACAGGTATGAGCGTACCTTGCCAGGGACGGACCGATTTACACCTCCTTTAATATTTCGCTACATAGACATCAAACCTTCGAATATATTGTTGCTTCCGCCGAATGACCCCGCATCCTTCTTCGCAGATGCAAGCCATGTGATCGAAAGTCCCATCGAAACTTCTGTGGCCAAAACACCCAATGGGACTACTGTTACTCGCGTTCGCAGCTACCCCATTCAATATCCTCTTCCCGGGCCAGAATTAGACGTTAACTCTATCGAGACGTGGCGCAGCACGAAGGTGCAGATCACCGATGTCGGTGTCGGTATGTCAACTTGATGTATGTCCTAGGAGTCGGTCCTGACATAGTTCCGAGCCTGCTGGGCTGATAAAACTGACGAGCACTGGACGGTACTCCCTCAAAATCCGTCTTTGCGCGCTCCCGAGGTATGTATCGGCACAGGCTGGGGAAAACCGGCCGATATATGGAGCCTTGGATGCACGGTTAGTTTGCATTTGACTGCGTTCAGTGTGCTCGTCCAATCACTGTTTTTACAACAGCTATACGAGTTTTACATGGGAAGATCTCTCGTTCCGGGGGATGTGCACGAGCAATCCATCCCCAACCTGCACAACGTCTTCTTTGGAGACTATCCTCCCGAAATGATTAGACAAGGGAAATTCAGCGATGTGTTCTACAAATCAGATGGTCGGTGCAGTCATTCTGTTTGTGTCCTCTATTTTGCTCAGCTGCGTGGATCCAGGCAGCCTGAAGGTCGATGCACCCAAACTCGCGTGGCCATTTGATACGGGCATCCGCAAGCGGAATGCGCCGGACGCCGAGCTTTTCGTCGATTTCCTGCGACAGACCTTCGTGCTAGATCCAAGTCAGCGAGCGACTTGCCGTGACCTGCTGACCCATCCGTGGCTGAACCCGTATGTCTGCTCCTTTTGTTTCCAACTCTCAAGGTGGCTAAGACAGCTTTGCGCGCTTAGCTGACACAGTGACGCCCAATTCATGACTTGTCGCTGAGAATTGTTCTGTTGCTTTCTTGCTCTGACACTGCTCTACTCTTCGTTCCTTGTATCACGACTGCTTATACGCAATTCACCTCTCAATCTACCGAGGTCCTTTTCATCCACTCACGCTGATTTTGGTGGCTATTTTCTTCTCTTCTAAGATAAGACCACGATGATACGTGCAGCGCATATCGCTGCGAGAGGAGTTTGCCGGTGACATTACAAAATGTCAGATAACCCTTGCGCCACTGTGTTGTAAGTCTCATACGAAGCCTGGACCCGAATACTAAGTTACTGTATCATGTAGAAGCTTCGACGCATTCATGATTCACGAACGTGCCTTGGTGCCGCACTCTCACCCATCCCGAGGTGGAAAAACAAACCAGACACCATCATAGGGACACCGTAGCCAAGTGGTTACGGCGACAGATTCGAATTTCTTTGTGGATGAGTAGATATCTGTTACTCTATGAGTGCGTAGGTTCGAGTCCTACCGGTGTCGGCTTTTTTTATGCAAGGGACGTCGTACATCGATGAGAATCACTCGCCTAGGAGCGCCACAACGATTGGCGGTCAGTAGAATATCCAGAAAAGGAAATACTCGACCACCCATCCTTCGAGCGCTCGGCGCTAATTTGAATCGTAACGCACATCCCGCTCTATTACACCTGTCTCTGTTCCATGACTATTGACCATGCCCATCAACATATATGGTCTCTGCTCATCTTGCTGGGGGTCACAGAGTGCCTTTGACTGAATGATCCAGTGGCAAATTTTCACATATGACAAATGTATTCCCCACGCCAGAACACACTTGATGGGTGCCACCGACGACGTCGTGGCTTGTTCAAACGAACGGCGAGCTAAAAGCGTTATCATCATCCTCTGGTTAGGTTGACCATTGAGCAAGGCTTAGAAGGTGTCAAGCACTGTCGTGCACACCGGTTCGGGCATCTTGGGTCCTGAAAACTGTGCTTTCGCACGTTTTATCTCATTTGACAAGACCAGTGAGAACATATGGTACGCCTTTCATATCATCTTCCACACATACGACATGCGTACAGAGAGCTCAGAGCCTATCTGTCGAACGGACGCTGCCTGTAAAGGAAGATTTGCATTCACAGGTCTCACGGTTCTTCGCGCACTGACAGTGGTGTACTCTATTCGACGCCGTCCAGTGCTTGGCTTCTCATGTTCGTGTGAAATAAGACGCGCCTGCTTCGGTTACGGTCAGTATCCGCGCTCTAAATATTGCTCAGCCGTGTCCATGCTCTACTTTCAGGTCTCGGATTCCACGGTGCCGTACCGGCCAGATCGGACTGGACTGGTGGAGTAAGTCTGTCTGTGTGAATCGTCCTATCAACCTGTCGCTCTCGACTGAGTTCCGTGTGGATGGAGGACTAGTAAAGCGAATACGGTACGCACGCCCTTATATAAGGGGAGAGCTTGCGTATCCTCACCCGTAGCAAGTACATTCGCCCTCTCCACATCTTCTCCAACCGCTCTCTGAGACCACGATGCCTCCTCCTCCGAAGCCCAAGCCTCCTCACAAGATGCTTATCACCATGAATAGCTTGCGTAATACGACCATGTCTGTGGGCGACAATAAGTTCTATTACGAAATAGTCACGCGCTATTGGCACCCGAACCTGACGAAGATCATCAAGCACGACTTTGAGACCCGTGAGTTGGAACCGCTGGCCGAAATCGAGGGGCTGCAGACGAAAGAGCCTCGGGTGCGCTTTGGTGGGGAGAAAGCGGAGTGGGTGTCCGCTTCCGACTTCGTGAAGTTCGAGCAGGACAAGGCGTACGTGTGCTGCCTTCGCAGTAATCCACATCTCTAAAGTGTCCGTACACTACAGTGGAGGAGCATTCGCTACTGGTGCTGGCATTGAATATCGCTGGAAGGTACACAAGGGACAACTCCAGGTACGTGTAGCGAACTCAAGCATTTCGCTTCATCATTATGACGAGCTCTCCCCGGACAGCTCGTTCGCGCGGACGACGCAGAACAGAAGCCCGTGGTTACATTTCATCCTCATCGGAGACACTTCTGGATCTTCCGCATGTCCAAGCACGCGTTCTTCGAGATCAAGCCAGAGCCTGAAGTGACAGAGGCCTTGGACAGACTCATTGGTAAGCTCTTCGGATGATGCCTTACCAGCACGATGTGCTGACCACTTCTTACAGTCAGCTACCTGCTCGTCGAGAGGCGGAGAAGGAAAAAAGGCATCAGTGTCATCCGATATGTCTCTTAGATCTCACGTCTCTTTTCTTCCGTCCGTCAGCTGTGTATCACTATCAGGTCGAAGAGTTCTATACACGCGCTGCAGCACACCACTTTCCATTCGTTCTATTTCCCTCCCGCGCCCGCTAGTCATCATCGAGCCCCATGATAAGGTGATCACAGTTGGCGTGTGCCCAACCGACCTGTTCAAGACGACGCGGCACTCTGGTCATTGGCGTCGAGCGGGACAACATATCTACCGGCGCGGCGGCAAACGAACGACACATCACCTGGTCTAGGTGAGCATACTATGACATTTCGGACTATGTCGAGCTGCAGTGTCGCGTTGCGATATAAGGCGATGCGCGACGAGAAGGGGACAGCAGTCGCGATTCAACTCGTGAACATCCCTTACCTGCAATGACGTCCAACTTCTCCAGCATCCCGATCCTTGACTACTCCCTTACCACCGATCCAGAGCGCAGGGAGGAGTTTATCGCTCAGCTCCGTCATGTTCTCATCAACGTCGGCTTCCTCTACCTGTCTAACTCGCCGGTCCCACGCGACGACATCGACGCAATTGTCGACTACGCCCCACGCTTGTTCGAGATACCCCAGGAGGCGAAGGATAAGATCCGCATGGCGAACTCCGAGCACTTCTACGGCTACTCCAAGCTCGGCGCCGAGTTCACCAAGGGGAAATTGGACCAGAGAGAGCAGTTCGATTTCGGCACTGAATGCGATAGTGTCTGGAAGCCAGGTGATCCTGACTACATGCGGCTCTGGGGCCCGGCTCAGGTAAGGAATGCGATTCACTGGAGCTCATGCATGATGCTAAAAAGAATAATATATCAGTGGCCCGAGGAGGAACTACTCCCTGGGTTTAAGGCAGCGATGCTACGCTACCTCGCGGGCGTAGAGAAGCTTAGCTACGAATTGATTAATCTGCTTGCGGAGGCACTTGAGCTCCCGTCTGACGCGCTGAAGGCCTTCTTCGAGACGGAGATGCCAGTTCAACACTGGGCCAAGGTGGTGAAATACCCTCCCTTGGGTGATCTCGCCTCGGACCAAGGCGTCGGCCCTCACTTTGACGCGGGATTTCTGACATTCGTAGGCCACTTTAGACCCCCAAAGTGTCCCGACACAGACTTACCATGTTCCACATAGCTGCTCCAAGCTTCTCCTCACGCAGGGCTTCAGGTGCAGAATCTTTCTGGTGAATGGATTGACGCTCCACCGATCCCCGGGACATTCGTCGTCAACATTGGCAAAGGTATGTAGATGCCAGCAACTGCTTGCGATGCGTGGCAAGCAATCTTATCATCGCAACAACCAGCACTCGAGACCGTTACTCAAGGATTGGCCCGGGCAACGTCTCACCGCGTATTGTCGCCTCCTAAGAGATCCACTCCTCGTTACTCTATTCCTTTCTTCCAGAACATATCCCTCCGCGTCTCAGTGAAGGATATCACTTTGCAGTGTACGTTGGGGAGCCTTGGTCCAACATACAGTTGTGTGATGACTATCCCGCAGTGAATGACGAAATCCTCAAACTGAGGGAGCAACGTGCTGAAGCGGGGGCCCCGGATTGTGAGTATATATGCGCAGTACAGGTGTAATCGGCACCCGGAAACGCTTGCTGACGTGCCGCCCTTTCTTCGCCAGCCGTCAATTATGCTGAGTACGGTCAACTCCCTACCGGCCAGGTCAACTTGATTGGACGCGTCAGGTGGGTGTCCGATTTTGCATCGGAGAGGATGCGTCCTGCTGCTGACGGGCATACGTGCGTAGGAGTCATCCTGATGTCGCGCAGCGCCACTACCCCGAGCTGTTCAAACAGTGCTTCCCTCGAGGTTTTCCCGTGGAAGGTAAGGCGTACTGAATAGTCACATCGAGTTTCATCCCCGCTTCTCCAACTGTGCGCTCAAGGGCCCATCTTGTATTAGTAGTACGTTGCATCAATGTCTGTATAGTTCCAACTCAGCCATAGCCATCCATGGAATATACAGAAGAGAGAAGCAGTGCACTGTTAAATCACACATGAATATGGACGAACTGACCAGCGTCGGGCCAACCATTAAGTACTGTCCGCAAGAGCGATCAGCGTGAATGACCACCTGCGGCGTCGAATTGCGTCTCATGGACGCACTCATTGTCATCGCCGGGCGACTCACTGCACAGCGCACCTACGTCGGAGCATCGAAAGAGAGAACCACAGGTGTGCCACAACTGGACGCAATCTCGCGTTTCATAGCTTCCAAGCAGATCGGAAATGCAGACAAGCTCACTTTCGGGCTTCCTACTATTCACGGACGCACGAGCGCCCGCTATTTTCCGTTGGGCGGCTGCACTTGGTGCAGGTCAGATCGCGTCATCGGCACCCAGGTGAATGCAGTCATCTAGTCTCTCCGTATAAAGCCTCGTGCCGAGCGATCCTCTCTCACCATCACCTCTGCAACGACCTCACTGCAAACCACGCACAACACAATGACCTCCAACTTCTCCAGCGTACCCATCCTCGACTACTCCCTCGCCTCAGATCCGGCGCGTAAACCCGAGTTCCTCGCGCAACTCCGGCACGCGCTGATCGACGTCGGGTTCCTCTACCTCGCGAACCCGCCCGTCGCGCGCGCGGACATCGACGCGGTCGTCGAGTACGCGCCGCGCCTGTTCGACCTGCCCCAGGTCGCGAAGGACAAGATCCGGATGGCGAACTCGGAGCACTTCCTCGGCTACTCGCGCCTCGGCGCGGAGATCACGAAGGGCCAGACCGACCAACGCGAGCAGTTCGACTTCGCGACGCCATATGAGGCCCGGTGGAAGCCAGGCGATCCGGAATACCTCAGACTCTGGGGGCCGTCGCAGGTGCGCGTCCCGAGTCCTGCTATTCTGCGAAATCGCAGCCCCAGCATCTCCTGATGATTAACAAACGTGTTGTTCCAGTGGCCGGACGAGGAGCTGCTCCCGGGCTTCAAGGATACCTTTCTGCGGTACCTCGCGCAGGTCGAGAAGCTGAGTTACGAGTTCATCGGCTTGCTCGCGGAGGCGTTCGGGCTTCCGCACGAGGTCATGCGGGGCTTCTACGAGACCGACGGGCCGACGCCGCACCGAGCCAAGGTCGTGAAGTACCCGCCGCTTGACGACCTCTCATCCAACCAGGGCGTCGGGCCGCATTTCGACGGCGGATTCCTGACCTTCGTGCGTAACACTTGCTGGCGCGTCGGGGTTTTAGTTAGGCTTGACGGTGAACACGGCAGCTGCTGCAAGCGTCCTCA